GTCATATCAATATATCAGGTATGTTTCTGACATTCCTAACCTCTGCCATTAATTCCATTGTACCAATGCTTCTCTGATTCAACACACATGTACTTTTATCAGATAATACTGCATATTGATTTCTATAACAACTCCTTAAAGCATTAATGCAAATGAAGTCATAGCAAGAATGACAAGATCAAAGTATAATTACATAGGACTCCTTCAGGCTGCTTCCGAATCAGCCCATGGAAACTTGTAGGAGGGAAACAATACAACTCAAGGCTGACTGTAGATTGAGGACGGCAACAAGGACATTACCCACAGGCCAAAATGTACATGACAATGGCTGCAATTATTCCACAGCATATCATGTACTAAATGCTGTTGATGACATGTTTTGAGAAGTGCTGTTTTTATCATTTGACATGTATGTGCTCAAGCTAAAATCATTTTTGCAATGCTCATGTGGCTAGCATTGAGAACATATAAATAAAAGTTCTATGTGTTTTGTATATTTTGTAGTCAGAATCCACAGCAGGACGAATGCCAATCAATACTGTACCCTCGCCACAGCTAATGATTTTTACACGAAAACCTCTGTTTAAAAATCATTAGCGTAGCTTCATGTATATTTCATCCAATAGATACAGGCAAGTAATGAAATGAAAGGCATACGTGTTATGTGTTAATCACCTATTTCTATGCCATATCTGAAAATTAACAGAAACTTGAAAATTAAAAACTAACCAAGACTAGTAAAGAAAAAAATGATCACAGGTGATGTAGTAAACAAAAACAAAAAGAACAGTGGCAGTCAACTACTATGAATAAGTTATGTTCAAGAACATACAAAGCTATTTTCGAGGAATGTTTCAACACCACCTTGTTCAGGGTTAAAATACAATATCTTCTTGAATACCTTATCAATACTATATGAATGAATTATCATCTAAGTGAATGTGGACAGTTTATTAGCATGAGCCAAAAATTCTTCTGAACCTTAAGGAAAATGTGGATATTGCAAGTGTAGTATCTTGTACATACCTGGCACTTATAGCTAAGATAGATTGGGAAAGTCTCGGTTTATGTGCTTAGATAAGGACATAATTCCAAAATTGTGTCAACATATTGTAAAGAGCTATCTCTAATTGAATACTGTAATGAGTCTCCATGTCTAAGTATTGGAATCATACAAAGTCATTATTCTTTCTGTTTTAACAAGTCCTTATAACTTAGTTGACAATTGACAATGTAACAAAAACAATCAAACTACCTCCAGCAGATTTGTAAGTAAAAACTGACACTATTTCTGCCATTCAAAACAGGAAAGCTCTTCCTTCACCTTATAAATAAAAATGATGATAACATCATACTTTAGACGCGGTATTTTGCATAAGTAAAATTCAAGGGTCGACCCATTTTACATGTGAGTAAAATCAGCAAGTATCTTTCAGATCTACCGATAATATGCCTGATCACTTAAATCACTGGTTTCATAATATGTTTAAACAGATACCAAGTACTTGTATCAAGCAAGTTTACCAGTAAAAGCATATCTACTATTGTGAAAGTTATATGTATTGTTTCAAAGTTTTCACAATTTACTAACATGAGTATTAACATAAAACAGTCGTAACAAAACAAGCAATAATTAATTGGATTACCATACTACATCACTGTATCTAAATAAACTTTTGATTTCTTGTACAACAACCTGGAAACAAGTGATTCTAACTTATGTAATGAGCAAGCCCTCTTCTTGGCTTGGAGTTAAGTGCCTGAGGGGTTTTAACGTGGGAGGAAACCCGAGGTACCCAAGGAAAACCCACATGGTCAGGTAGGTGAGCCATATACCTTTTCATGTCCAAATTAGGAAAATCAGACCCCGCACATCAAAGGGAAAGTGAGTGGGTTACCACTGTGCCACCTGACCACCCATGAACAATAGTACTGATGCACACCTGACCTGATAACTATTTTAAGGCATATTAAGAGTATCACCTACAACCAACAGACCCATTACAATATAAACATATAAATCAAGATCATATGCTACCTTACACAACAATCATGTACAACACAATACTGTTTCCAATCCTGAGGTTTTCTATTAAACCTCAAGCATGGATCACTCTTTTGACACTTTTGATATCACAGAAAGGTAATATATGCCCTAAATTGTAGCAGAATATTATGTTTCAAAATAAAAATTAAAAAGTAATTCAAACAGACTAACGTAAATTTCAAATGCCAATTTTTTGTAAACAATAAAACTCATGAAAACTGAGTATTTATTGGAAATTCAAGACAATGATAAAAACTTTTACCAATAAAAAATAATGCATCAAGAATTAAAAATGATTTAAAGCACAAACATGGTGTATGGTGGTAGGAGGGTGAAAGATGTAAGCATGGTATTCTATAAATATATATATAAAATGTATTAATGACCTTCACCAGATATGTTTTCAATTTTTGTCACAGTGATCATCCTGGACAGACTTTTTGATGGATGTTGACATCAATAAACGTTTTCAAACTGAATCTAAATTTACGATTAACAATTACAATAAATGATTGAAAAGCTTGCTAAAAGCAGCCATTGCAAAATATTTAATTAGAGAGAATTCACTTTTCAAAACCTGATCCAAAAACTTAAAAGTGAGTTTTGATGTGAAAAAAGGTAAGTTAAAAAAACATTAATCCTAATCAAACTGATGGAACACCTCTGACTGTGGGATATACATTTATTGAACGAGAAACTTTTCAAACGTTTTGTCGAAAAACTTTAAAGCAAGTTTCGATGTGAAAAATTAAATTAAAAAAAAAACATTTCACAATTATTAAAATAAAATATGTATCAATTTTCCTTAAAATCAATGTTAGGCCTCATATGACAATGTATACTTATGGACATAGTAAAGCAGCCTTCCATGCTTAACTCAAAAACTTCTAAAAGTTGAGTTTCAAGCATGGCTAACTTGGCTAATACCAAGTAAATACTACACAAAATCATCTTTCATTTCAGTTATAATTACCAAAACTTTAGTATGCATATCTCCCACTAATTCCCATTCATTCACGTCCTTCTTTATCCATGGCGTTGGGCTGAGCAGACATGTTCCACCTGTGTGCCAATTCTCAACGTTTACAGGGCAGTATTCTCCATTCTGTTTGGAATTTTTGTTTATTTCAAAGCGGGTTTTACCATTTTGTTTATTTTCCCATTGCTTGTTAAGTTGGCCTGTTTATTTCGGCTTTCGTTTTTTCTCCGCCAGTAACTTACCCTAACTTTACTGAGTCCCATACTCTTTTTTCGTTTATATTATATACAAATGAATGGGAATTAGTGAGAGATATGCATACTAAAGTTATGGTAAGTATTACGTCATGAAAATTGGTTATGTATACTAAAGAAAAGCAGAAGCCACTTAAAATATTATCCCCAAAACAAGGGGAGAGCGAAAATGTTAAAAGTAAGGCAAAATGTTAAGATAATGTCAACATGAACATTAACAATATTACACATGTCAAGTGATGTCTACTGTTTGCTGATCTATTCTTATCGAGTACAAATTCTTGCCAGTGCTCAAAACTGAAAAAAACAGGTCAGTGATTTCTCAGTGTCCAGTAACTATAGTATTAACTTTTAGTAGGGTGGTATTCAAAAAGAAGAAATGATATTTAAATATTCATTTTCACAATTGTTAGATATTTATTAACATTAGAACATCGCTTAAATTCTTATTTTGTGTAGACAAAGCCATTTTTCCATTCTAAATAGAATTTTATCAAAAGAATACTTATATACTAATTTCTATGGAACTGACATCACTAATATATATAGAGCTAGTGCACAAAGGCAATGTCACATTACACATAATGATATATACCTTGTAAATCTCTAATAAAATGTAATGATTTCAGTTGTAAGGCTTTAAACAATGTCTTCCAATAATATATCATATAAAAATATGGTCATGACATCTTTTGAATTTAAATATTAACAATATATATATTAAAATTTAAAGACTTAAAATATTACATTGACAGAATAACTTGCTAATGGTTCACCTGACAAAATCTGTCAATATCTCAGGTGACCTCTATATATCAAGACTTCTACACAGAAGTGCAGGGAATGCTATAAAACAGAGAATATTGTAAATGTACATACTTTAGGAGTCATTCATTTTAGCACTTTTCCTTCTAAAAATATTGTGCTTATTGAAGTTTCTGCATGTTGGTTATATACTAATCATTGCGGAGACGAGAATTCGTCCCTTCGCCAATTGACCAAAAACAGATAATGTGCTAAAATTGCACTGCACCAAAATAAATACATTTACACTATCAGCTCTTATGGGTGAAAATAATGCACTTAGATTGAAAATTCAAATTCAGTATGACAACTGTTTGTAGAAAAATTTGAAAAGACCAAGATATATTGATATACATGTGTTTCATACATGACTTCCACGAAATAACTTTCAGTTATCATCAAATTACAAACATTAGTTCGTATATACAATATCTAAGCTTAATATTAGCACCAGTTATCTCCCTTTATACTCACAACACTTAAAGAAATGGCAATTACATATTTGCAGAAAATGTTAAAGCTTTTTAACTACAATGTATAAATAGGAGACAGTATTTGCCTTGAGAATGTCACAGGTAAATGCTAACACATATCAATTTCTGACTAGAAATTTGGTTGTGGAGGTAAGAATGGCCAATATTTTTGGAATTCAACTTCCGTTATGGTGATTATTTATTAAGAAAATCACATTTAAGAAAATTACACAAAATATCCATTCTTACAAATCATTTTATGTTTCTATTTCTGACAGATAGTCAGTGTTGTTTTGGGACATACTTTTTCAAATATAATTTATTCTTCCATTTTAATGTCATCGAATGATTTTTTAAGTGTACATGGATAATAAGAAAATCCTGATGTAAAAATACAAAATTTTCATTTCATTAAATGAGCTTTGAAATGAATAGCAACCTAATGAAAGAGGAAATTTTGAGAAAACGATAAAAATCTTTTATTTTACCATGCTCTAAAATTTATGTTTTTTCCCCAAGACTATATGTTTGGACAAAGAAATGTTCAATGATATTTTTTGTTTTCAATTTCATTAAAATGAGGGGGCTGCTGTTTTTCACATTTTTATAATTTTCAGATGAATAGTTATTTTTCAAACATCCAGAAATAAGCTGAAGAATTTAATTTTGAGTGCTAAAATCAAGAAAAGCATTCCAGCATTCAAATATCTGAAATCTAACCAGGACTCTCAGAGTTATACTCATTGAGCAACAACCTTAGCAACAAATCATTTTTGAAGTTGCTTACATTATTAATTGAATTATGGCATTAACTACGCCAACAAAAAATGAAGTGCATCAGCAAAACTCTACACAATGTCTTATTGAGTGCTCTATTGCAGCAAATAAATACAATTATAGATAACACAATGTATAAAAACACTAAAAAGCACAGACATTGTTGGATTCTGGTTTATATTCAAATCCAGTCTAGCATGATATCAATTAATTTCTGAGCCCTTTTCTCAAGCCAGATCAAATTTTTTCTTCATGCCGACTTAGAGCAATGAATCAATTATAAGTCGAGACAACTTATAACATCCAATGCCCACAGCTCCTGCTAGGGATATCTTAAATGCCCAGCCAAACGTCCTCCTGAGTAAAGACATCTGCTGATTTGGTATGCTGGAAGTAAATGGAGCCAGTTTGCAATTTTAATTTCCCTTTTTTTTTTTTCATACAATGTAATTTTGCTTCCATACACTGGGTGTTTTTTGTTGTATCCCAGTGTGTCATATTGAAATCAAGTACAAGGTTTAATATTACAAAAGGCTGATTTACATACCCTAAAACTCTGCAGCTCACCTTTCAATAAATCACCATGAAGAATCTGTAGCCTCTAATCTCTTTGAACAAAACATACTTTTCACATAATGCTTTGTCACAGCCTTTTTTCACTGATTTGGAATGAACATTTTTGCCTCATTTTGTGAAGAAAACAGGTGAATTTGTACCAGAATTTTCAGGAGGAAACTGCAATTTTTTTCAAAACAGCCCTCAAAAATTTCCCTGTAAATATTATGATAAAAATAACAAACTTGATGTGTCAGTGTGCCAGGGATGCCCTTGCTGGTGGCAATGCTTTTCAAATATTTATTTCTAAAATAGACATTACATTTATTCTGCATACAAAAGAAAGATACATCTACCATAGATTAAACTTCCCAACACAACTGCATAGTGGTCAGTGTAGTAGTTTACAGATATACATACATCTACAGGGATGGATTGGTGAAGCAAGATCTAGTTTGGACCTATAACCAGTGGCTGCTTGATGAATTTGTTGAGAATACTAAAATGTTCAATAATCCTTTGAATAACTAATGACATGACATCTTTACAATGGTTTGACCCAATTTCAATGTCAACCCTCCCCCCTGCCAAGGCATTTTCCAAAGAAAAATCTAAGTCACAGGGCCACCCTGTAAAAAATTTGGACAGCATTTCCCTTGCAATATGCACATCTACACAATGTGGTTTTTTTTGGTACCAAGTTTCATTAAAATCTTCCAAAAGACAAGGTAATTCACTATACTATTTCACATCTGGTTGTAGGAGTTTTGTGTAAAAAATGTCATTAAACTGGGCTCAAGGGTTATTAAGAAGTTGATAATGTCAACATATTATGGACAGAAGGTTAATGAAGGATGGACTACAATCGATAATATGTGACTGCAATAATTTTGTTTCAAAGTGACTTAAAACCTGAGAGGCAAGTTAAGATGGTAGTTTATATCAAAATATGTTTGACTTACGATAAGATTTCCTTGATGTCATAGCGATACTCTTCCCAGTTCGCTATGATACCAGACACATGTCCTATCCCAACCACACCGACCACTACCACAGGGTCCACGGGATCTGTAACATAAAATATCACTGATGATGCCTTGCTGAATCATTGAATACACAGAATTCAAGAATGTAGGTCAGGCAATCCCTGAGCCCCAGGTGTCCACATAGATTTTTGTATCATGTTTATCTATCTAAAGTTAGGATAATAAACCTGTAATTCTGTCTGTAACGTGTTTATCTAAAGTTAGGATAATAAACCTGTATTTCTGTCTGTACCATGTTTATCTATCTAAAGTGAGGATAGTAAACCTGTATTTCTGTCTGCAACTTTTTTATCTATCTAAAATTAGGACAGTAAACCTGTATTTCTGTCTATAACGTGTATATATATCTAAAGTTAGGATAGTAAACCTGTATTGCTGTCTGTAACATGTTTATCCATCTAAAGTTAGGATAGTAAACATGTATTTCTGTCTGTAACGTGTTTATCTAAAGTTAGGATAGTAAACATGTATTTCTGTCTATAACGTGTTTATATATCTAAAGTTAGGATAGTAAACCTGTATTTCTGTCTGTACCATGTTTATCTATCTAAAGTGAGGATAGTAAACCTGTATTTCTGTCGGCAACTTTTTTATCTATCTAAAGTTAGGATAGTAAACCTGTATTTCTGTCTGTAATGTGTTTATCTAAAGTTAAGACAGTAAACCTGTATTTCTGTCTGTAATGTGTTTATCTAAAGTTAAGATAGTAAACCTGTATTTCTGTCTGTAATGTGTTTATATATCTAAAGTTAAGATAGTTGACCTGTAATTCTGTCTGTAACATGTTTATCTAAAGTTAGGATAGTAAACCTGTATTTCTGTGTGTACCGTGTTTATCTATCTAATGTTAGGATTATATACCTGTTTCTGATCCATTTGCCCGCATTTGTCTTTTGAACAAGGTAGCCCCATTCTTGAGACTATATGCAAGACAAGTGTCCCTTTCTTCTACCACTACTCTGACAAGGGCAGGGATTTTTGCAGACATGTCTTGCAGCACCTGTTGCAGCAAGTCACGGTTTTTATATTTCTCTATGTCCTCTTTACTGTAACAAACACATATAACTATATTATATGAATGTAACTGCCTGAGGTTGTTCCCAGCTCTAAATACATTCTACCAACAGCATTTAAGAATTATTTCATTTACATTACAATAAATTTTATTCTTTCTTTACTTCCATGTAAAGCACAAATATCCTTATAAAATTTTTCCACATGGAATACTTGCAGGGTTCATTAAGAAATTTGATGTCTAAATTTAGAGACTCTATCAAGCTTAAATCAAATTTAGGGCCTGATTTTTCTTAATAGTTAGCATTAGTATTCATTTATTTTCAAAAAACCTTTGTATCAATTTGATATTCTAATTATATATAATTATCTAGTCATTTGATTATAAAGAGTGATATTTACAAGAGGCCACATAGGCCTAAAAAAATTAGTCAACTATTCAACAACTTACAACGAAGTCATTGATGGTTCATAAAAACATTTCCTGCAAACTCATATTCTTAATATACATTAATGACATTTACATATTTTAAGATCTCAACTCATTTGACCCAAGAGACTTTGAATAAAGGTCAAGGTCAGTTATTTGAATAAATTATGTAGTCCTTCATCCACATATATTAGAGAACCAATATAAATAGCCTTAGCCGTTTTATCATTGAGAAGTCATTTGAAGATTTTCTCACATTTGACCCCTGTGACTTTTTAAAAGAGAAAAGTCAATCACATGAACAAAATTGGTAACCCTTCATCCCAGCATGCCACAGGCCCATTACAAGTACCCTTAGCCTTCTGGTTATTTTGAAGAAGTTGTTTTAAAGATTTGACATATTTCACACATGTGACCATGAAAAATAGTCAAGGTCAATAATATAAACACATTTTGCAGCCCTTCATCTCAGCATGCTACAGACCAAATATCAGTGCTCTTTATCTTTCCATTATTGAGAAGAAGTCATTTGAATAGTTTGATATATATGACACCTATGACCTTGAAAATAGACCCTTTGGGTCAGATGACCTAATAAAAAGACCATATCAAATGTATTTTACATACAATACAAAAAAAAAAGATTATAAAAAATTGCATCATTTTTCTTAGATTATATGTTGCCATTTGTTTATTACACAACACATACTTGCATGTACACATTAGTAATTTACCATCTTGGCTCTAGATGCATATGCTATCAACACTACTCAACTATCTGTAGTCATTAATATTGTCACAAATGTGGTATAATGTACCAACTTTTAAAAAATTAATATCTTTATCACTGTTTACTCAACAGTATATTTATAAGTCAATGATCATTATTTAAATTACCATGATCACGATGATGCCATGATTGAAGAAATGATGGTTGTAAAATTCATCCACTCTGACTTTGGTTGAGTCAAAGTAAAATTCATCCACTTTGAAAGTTTTCTGATCGAATTACAGGAATTGTAGCTGGGAAATCAATTGGGCATAAGATCTTTGATTCCAATTTTGAAACATTCTATCAAATTTTCAGCAGTGCCATGTTCCAAGAATACTGATACTAGGTAAGACAAAATGACTTTTCCATCTCCCAAAATCCTAACATGAACGTTCATCTGTTTCGACTGTACTTTGCTATTTATGGCCTTTCATATCTCATAAGCCATAAGTCAAATTGGCCATAAGTCAAAATCAGACTTTTTAAGTGTACAGCAATGCCATTCACAGTCTTATAAGATGTTATCTTTTCACAACATTGAAACACCTTTGTGCTATTACGCTGTCTGGAAACATACTTCCGAAAAGTTCACTTACTATTTCGTTCAATTTATAAAAGTTATACAAGACCATCATTTGAATAGTCCACAAGATTTCAGCTTTTAAACAGGATTATTTTCGAAAATATTTCCCTATTTTGGGTAGAGGACATCCTGGAGAAGCAGCGTTAGCAGTACAAGCACTAGGTGGGGTGGAGGCACATAAAATGAGCATTTGACAATACCTGACATCTTCTCCATTTAATGCTTTTTTGTGCCATTTCAGTGCACATTTGCCAATTCTCCTGAGATTTTTCTGCTTATTGCATATCCTGCATTGTGCACAGTATTTGTCCTCAGATTTTATCATCCAGCAGCGAGTCTATTCCCAACTTGGGTAGCATGTACAATGCCTCATGTTGTCACATTAATACATAGCACTGCCTCTTGCAAACTACATTCGAAAGTCATGGTTACAGAATACCTCTGGAGCTTTCAATAGCAACTTCTGTATATTCTAATAGCAAAACCATTGACCAGTGAACAACATTTTTCCTGAATTTCTTTTGTCATTGATAAATAGAATTTGAAAAAAAAAATGAGTTTAAATTTTAAACTTATTCACTTTTTATTGGTGTTCGATAGTTATGAATACCAACTTTATTAACAGTATTTAAGGCCTTTTTAAGTCCTTTTTCTTCATATAACAGAAATTAGGGCCTTTTAGGGCCTGACCATCAGATTTAGGGACTTTTCGGGTTCCACTCACAAACTTATGGCCTTTTCAGGACAATATGAAACCTCATTTGCTTACTAGACTTTTTTTTTTTTTTGTAACTTTTTATTTTTTTCCAATTTTCAAACAATGCATAAATATAATATACAACAGATATCACCATGTATAACTTGCATACTATACCACTCATTCATCAAACTTAGCTTTAGCATGTATACATTTTGTAATTTCATTTAAGGGGGAGGGGGGGGGAAACTAGTGCATTGCTTATATCAGAAAGAGAAGAAAGAAGATACTAGTAAAACTTAAAAAAAAAAAAAAAAAAAAAGCAAGAAAAGGGAGGAGAAAGAGAGAAAAAGAGAGCAAGAAAAGAATGTGGAAATAAATTACCAGAAGCATGGAGATGGTTTAAGCTATAAACATACAATAAAAGATTTCTAAAACAAAGATAAAGGTGATACAATGTAACTTTTTTCCGGACAAGACGAAAATGTCAAAGTTATGTAGATGTAAGTAGTCTGTCCCATTTTTTCCACTCATTATTAAGTTTATGTACAAAAGTGTCTCCCTTCCCTATCGCTGAATATCTCTGAGAAAAGTAAGTATCTTTAATTAGATTTTTCATTGCTGTTACAGAAAGTGTTGTTTGCAAACATCTTGATCTATATATATAGTATTTCATTAACAGAATGATAGTATTATCTACTTTGCTACTACAACTATTTTGATTAAAAAGCCCAAAAATGAAGGTTTCCTTATTAAATGCAAATGGGATGAACAGTGCATCTAGTAGAAATTCAAAGTTTTGTAAGAAGTTTTGGATTTCAGTACAATCCCATAATGTATGAACTATTGTTTCTCTTTCAGTTTTACAGAAGTGGCAAGAAGGGTTGTCAACAAGGCCTAATTTAAATAGATGTGAATTTGTGGTCAATATGTTATGATTAATTCTGTATTGCAGCCATAGTAATTTTGTGTCTGTAGTAGCTTGAAAAGGACTTATGTATATTGATTTCCAGGTTTCATCATTTAATTCAAAAAGTTCATTCCCTGTGGCTGTAGAGCTATTTTTACAGAGTATGTTATAAAAATCTTTCATACCCCTTTTATGCTTAAAAAAAATTTCGAAGATTTTCGGTATATATGGGTAATTTATCACTACATTGCGGATATCACGAGGCATATATTTTTTTATAACAGACACAACACCTTGGTATAATATGAAATCTGTATTAATTTGGAATTTTTGCAAAAATTCATTATAGGAGTAAAGAGTGTTAGAATCATGTTCTTTTATCAAGTCATTAATAATTACAACACCTTTACAAAAACCAATCTCTATAAAAAATAGTCTTGTTACCTATCTTAAGATGTTCGTTGTACCAAATAGGTGTTTTTAGCATATCAACCGTTTCATTTAACATACATTGCTTACTAATTAAAGTTCTCCAAGACTGAAATACGTCTTTCCAGAATGAATTTTTACACCTCTGTTGTACAGTTGCTAAATATTCCAAACCACAGTTTATCAGGACATTCCTATCTACATAAGTGTTAAACAATATTTGCCATTTGCCTTCTGAAGTGAAAAGGCTACCAACCCATGTGAGTTTCAATGAAGTTATAAAAGACTTTAGATGAACCATTTTGAGACCCCCCTCAATATAGTTTTTAATTACAATATCTCTTTTTATTTTGTCCACTTTACTTTTCCAGAGGAAGCTATATAATTCTGAGTTCAATTTTGAGATAAAACTATCATCAGGATTTGGTAATGAAATAAGCAAGTGGTTTAACTGGGATATCAGTAAAGACTTGATGACATGTATTCTCCCTATTGGTGTTAAAATTCTTCTACTCAAGTTCTTTAATATTGCTTTCAGCTTCACTAACTTTTTGTAATAGTTTAATTTGGGTATCAAATGTAAATCAACCTGAAAATCTAGACCTAATAGAACAAATTTACATCTTCCCCACTGCAAGTTCATTTCAGGAAAAAATCTCTCCTCACTATATTTATTGTCCCCTATCCATATGACTTGTGTCTTACTTTTATTTATCTTCAGGCCTGAAATTTTTGCAAATTTTTCTAGTTCAACTAAAGATTCTTTTAAAGATTTTTTGGTTCCATCTAAGATAAGTGTAGTATCATCAGCATATTGTGATAGCAAAAGTGGAGAGTTATCTACCTTTATACCTTTGATACCTTTGTTATTTCTAAGTTTGATTGCCAGTATCTCAGCACATAGTATGAAAATATACGGGGCGATTGGGTCCCCTTGACAACAGCCCCTCTTAATTTCGAAGAAAGATGAAAGATTGCCCCCTTGATTAACTGCAGACATGGACTCGTTATGAAATATTTTGACCCAACTTCTAATATCATGACCAAAGTTAAAATAACTCAGAACTTTATCAATAAAACTCCAACTAACAGAATCAAATGCCTTTTCAAAATCAATAATTAGAAGCATCCCTGGTATATTACTTTCTTCTGCATATTGCATGATATCATATATTAATCTTAAGTTTTCACCTATAAATCTGCCCGAAATAAATCCTGTCTGGTCTGTATTAATTAATTTTTCTAAAACTGTTTTAACTCTATTAGCAATGGTACCCGATGCAATTTTGTATACAATATTTAAAAGACAAATGGGTCTCCAATTTTTCAAAAACTGCCGTGGTTTATCCCCTTTTGGCAGACATGTAATTATCCCGTCTCTGAGTAACAGATAATATCCCATGTGTATATGCATAATTTATAGACCTTACAACAAAGTTCCCTAATTATTTCCAGAAAAACTTAAAAAATTCAACTGTATATCCATCAGATCCTGGACTTTTATTATTTTTCATTTGTTTTAAAGTGTCTGATGCTTCAAAGTATGAAATACTTCCCTCTAAAGATAATGATTCAACATTTGTTAACTTTGGAACATTAAAGTTTAGCAAAAGGTTATTTAGATCTACATCTTCAATATTACAGTTGCTAGAATAAAGTTGCTCATAAAATAATTTTATCTCATGTAAAATGTCTTCTTGCTTCCTTATAACCTCTACATTTTCTTTTCAACCATTGGGATAATCTTGGACGTAAAATTTCAGTTTTCAAGATTCAAAAAATATTAAGTTGGTTTCTCACCTTCTTCAATCCATTTTGACTTTGACCTTAAAATCTTTCCTTTCATCTTGGACTGTCTGATCTTTTCTAGTTCTTTCTTTTTCCTGTCTAGTTCATCAAAATCAATGTTTTGGGAATTTTCTAGTGTTTGTATATTCTCAATAAGTATGGATTCTTTCTTATTCTGACACTTCTTTTTGTAGGAAGAATATGAAATAGTTTTGCCTCTTATTTCGAAAAGTAATGTCTCTAGAAATAATTGGTCATTTATCTGAAGTTCAATTTTTTTATCTGGAATAGTATCAATAGAGTTTGGATCATACACTAGAACGGTATATTGTTTTTTAATATCTAAAATAAGATTCTTTATAACTTCGACATAGTCTGCATCATGTAGTAACGAGTTATTAAATTTCCAGAGGCCTCTACCCCTTTTAAATTCAGTAAATTTTATTGTAATAGTCGGAGCAGAATGATCTGACCTATAACTAGATTCCATATCAGATTTCTGAACATTACCTAACATATTTTCGGAAACAAGAAAGAAGTCTAAATGGGCTTGTTTAATAGGATTACATCTTCTCCAGGTGTATCTCTTACAGTCTAAGTGTTGTTCTCTATATATATCTACTAAATTCAATTCATTTATTATTTCTATAACTCTATCCCTCGCCTTAGGGTGATTTATTTGCTTATATGATTTATCATAGTCAAGATCTGGGTTTAATACTAAATTAAAATCACCACATACTATACAAAACTCATTGTCAAATTCTGCTACTACATCTACTACTTGCTGATAGAAACCAGGTGTGTCTAAGTTTGGACCATAAAGTGTTATCAAAGTTACTTTTTAATCATCTAACAATATATCTAAAGCAATGAAATTACCTTCATTATCTTTCCTTTCACGTAGAATTTTAATCTTAAAATTATTGTTTATTAAAATTGCAACACCTCTACAGTTTGACCTAAAAGAGCTAAAATAACATTTAAATCCCCATTCTGACCTTGCAATATTTTCTATATCTTCAGTGAAATGAGTGTCTTGAAGACAACATATATTATTTTTCTGACTTCTAAAATATGAAAAAACGTCTTTACGCTTAACTTTATCTCGGAGACCTTGACAGTTCGCTGATATTATCTTAATGCGTTCTACGATAGTATTAAATTATAATCAACAAAATAGCTTTTAACCATCTCCATGCACAGACTACAAAATTTTGCAGAAGAAAAGAATCTGGTGGTAAGTTTAAAGGTAAAGTAGAGAAGTAAGGAGTCCAGAAACAGATGAGAAAGAAACAAAGCCGAGGTGTAGGATCTGCCAGCGAAGAAGCTGAGTAGGGGAGAGATAGACAGAGAGAAGAGCACATACCATACACATAGGGACATATTTGAATATTAATATAGAAATACTGGCACACTATCACCTGTACACAACTATCAAACTATTCAAGGACCTGCACTATAAGCAACGTACGTCATTCAGTTCACATACACGTGTGCGATGCCAGCCTTTCAGACATTAATTAGCGGAAGCGGAAGTCAACTTCAAGCATCCTGAACATCCAGAAGAAAAAAACTAAGGAAAACGAACTCGGAATTCACAAAGCAACCCAAATACCGTTCTCAGAACATAGATAATTATTAAAAGCACTGCTAAAATTTAACTTACTTTTATTTACCTTTTAATGAGCTGTCAGTTTGTGAATTGTGAATTAGCAAATGATAAAATGATCTCTATCAATATAATGCTTGAAATTTTCCTAACTTCCTGTTAAGTGTCTGAAAGACCAAGATGACAACACTAATGTAAACAAATAATGGTCGGCGATGGAGGGGTTCATCAACAACCGTCCTTCAACTTTTCTATTAAGAAGGTACATGTATTCTTACAATTAATGGCTATTAGTGGCCAAGTTGAACTAGAGAAGAAATATATGTAAATATAGTATTGACTCTAATCTACGTTGTTATTATAAATGCTGAATTATTGTATATTGAGCAGGTACTGTAGTACTAAATGTATATATTGTAATGTAGATACAATGTCATGTGTAATCAGATTGCTTACTAGACTTAAAAATCATAAGTTCTGCTTGTCTTACCAATCACAAACAGTTGGAGTTAGCTCCATTTTATAATGTTACAGACAACCGGCATGTGTCCTTACCTCACTTTCATGTTTAATCCAAAAAGCAGTAGCAAAGCCAGTTGGAATTTCTGCCAGACAGACAGATAAGCCAGTACACGTTTCATTGTGATCTCAATGGGACGATCTCCCGATGCAACAACTTTACAGATTGGTGACCTTCTTGCCTGAATTTGAATAGAACTATATGTGAGATAACATCAATATTTAGACTGTTTGATTACAAAACTGAAAAAGAAACTTCTGTATTTTGTCGTAATGAATTAGTCAAATGCTTCACATGATGCATGTTAAAGCAGAAACAATGTTTGCATTAATTTAAGTAAATGAATGGTTTGAAGTTGGAATGAAATTTGATTTTCACAAAATACAGCTATCTTTCAAATGGTATTTGTTGTAACACATATAAAATGTCAACAGACCTCTTTCATGGCCTCATGAAATTCTAATCCTGATGCCATACCCAGCTCTCTGGCAATGTGTGCTGATATCCTGAGAGCCAGAATAAATGCTATGCCCTGAATGAATCCCATCTGTAACCAGAAAATACATCATTCATTTCTCAGAAAAATAGAAGACATCAACATCACATCAGGAATCAGGTTGATACTACATGTCTTGAGTGAAGGTTATTGTGATGGTCTGATATGCTGTTGTAATACTCTCTAACCTTGCTGATCAATAAGTGATATATGGTCTATTGTCCTTCCTTGTATGATCATGCCAAAAGGTTTTTATGATGAATGTACCATAGATAGGTGACCAATGACGAAGTGTTCATTCATTGTGGACACCATTTTGTAACTTCATGTTTGACTGAGATTTGTATAGTATCACCAACGGACGATTGCTGAACATTAAATTGTCATGTTTTTATGCACAATATTTTACTATCTCATTTATCACGTGATGTATTTCATTCATCTAATTCTGGTGAACATGTGATACTCTTGTAAAATATATTGTTTACATTCAATTTTCAATTTTTTAACAGATGCTGATTGGTCTACATCCAATCGCATGATATTTCATTAAATATCAAATTGTACTCTGTGACAGTGATAAGACATCATAATGCTAACTCCTGTAAGTTTTCTGTGATGTCATAAAATTGAACACATGTCTGACAAGTTGTGAAAAAGTGCTATACGTGCGATGTTTATCAAAGACGCTGTATTCATGATGCAGTGGTGAATGTTATCAAATAAGATGTAAGTAAATTGACATGGGATCACACCTTGAGCATTTTGTGCTTTTGTTTTCATCTAAAACGTAATCAAAAAGCATTTCATTTAAATTGATATGAAGAATTGTGGAACTCAAATAACCAATATCAATCATGGCCTCAAAATTATCATCTGATGATTAAATCCATTTCTTCTCATTTCTGAGGTAAATTGTCTGATATTGTACAACATCTAATATGAACGATGTTTTATAAATCTCTCAATCTTTCAATTTTTAAACAAATACCAAAATAAAAAAACAGAATTTGTAATTTTTTTGTTTGTTCAAAATATCATATAGAAGCCATGTTCCTTCAGTCATCCAAATGTATCGAAGTGGTATCATTTCAGCATGTAAACCTTCATATCTATTTTTTTCCTGTTCTGTCTTACCTTTTTAAAATCTGACATAGAAATTATGAAGCTTTCCATTTTTAACCAAGCATGTACCAGAATTATATCTTTTTATGAAATATAATTGATCAAAATCAACATAATTCATTGAAACCATATCAAAACATGAGGATCCCAAAATGTTATATGTAGTCAGTCTGTTGTGATATACTACAGGAGTTTTCATAACTTACTGGATTTATGATCTGGACCATCATCAGATATTCCCAGCCAAGAGGAAAAGATTATGATTATTTGTTCAGATGTTTTTTTTTAAACACTTTTTATAAAAATCCTAATATCTGACACACAAATACATTGCACTATTTTTCATTATGAAAACTACAGAAAAACAAGCTAGCAAGCAGCCTGCAGTGATGAGTTTTCATGTTTTTTGTGTGTCAATTCATTCACACCATCAAGGATCATCAGAGAAACACTTAATAAAGTTTGCAAATGAATTATGCAGATAATCCTTTAATTTACTGGTGTATTTCAAAAAAAAAATAAAATAGCAAATATCAAACTTGTTTGGCTTGGGTGTCCTCATAGATGGCCGACACACAGACATAGGGTCTGACGTTATGTACAACTTAGTTGACAATCCCTCCATTGATGTGTCTATACTGTTAAATATTTACGAAGACCCCTGCATGCTGACCAAATTCTTATAGTTATATATTGTTTCTTCTTGTTAGTTACATGAAGCCATTCATATAATAAACAAGGATAGGGGTCATTCTAGAATTTGACCTATAACCCTATGACCCATCGATCCAAGGATGCAAACAGCTATTGTAAACTTCCACTAAGCCTTCAAAGGAATGGCTTAAGTCCGAAAGATATTGTTGTGACTCATATTAAAAGGTATGATCGATTAAATTCACATGAATGACAGTTCAAGACTTATAAAATCCTGCGGTGAAAACAGATGATTTGACAGTAAACACTAAATAACATCATTAGCAATGCCTGATGCTGTACCTTATTGATGGTCTGTTTGATTTTCTGTAAGTTGAAGTTCTTTGTCTCCTCCAACAAAAATTTCTCATCAAAATGTAGCATGTTTGTCCTGCTTTCACACAGCTCAAGAATTACGATGTCCGGCTGGGTCTTCCTTATAGTCTGCCATGGATAAAGCATATGTGTTTTAGTCACAGTTGGCCTGTATTGCCAACTCTTGAATACTCCTTACAATGGCATACAACTAATACTGCTATATCAATCCTTTCCATACCTTAACCAAGGGATATTTACTCCCCAAGAAATGTTACCTATTTTTAAAAACTACATGAAACTGTGTCTACAGTTTATGAGAGGTTGACCTCAGAAGATTCTTTCAACAGGCCTTCTTTTGGTCACCATGGCAATCAAATGGCAACCGGTTTTTTTTAACAGTACCATTGTATTTGTCATTCCACTAAACCTTTTAATACCAATTTTCAACTTAGTCAACTAATATCTCAATTTTGACCAATTAGAAACCTTCTATGCCTTTCCATGTCAATGGTTTTGTAACACCTAACATGCCAAATTATATGTTATAATTAGATGCTGCTTTGATCAAGTCTAAAAATTCAATGAAAGAGAAAGGGCTAGAATAATGGCACTATAAATGAAAACCTGTACAAAATGACCTGGATAGCATGGCAACCCAGATTTTTGCTAAAAATAACTTGCATACACATTTGCACACACTAAAATCCCAGTGTAGTTTCATTAAAATCAGTCCACAATATTTGGGTAAGTCTGCAAAAGATCCATCTAATTACAGAGTTTTAAGTGGTTACGATAGCCACCAAATAACATCAGCTGTTTTTGAAAATGGTAATTTAGTAATTGCCTGCCCTCATAACCTTTATATATCAGTTTTTAGCACAATCAGACATCTCAATGGACAAACGAAAATTATCTCGGACAACCAGATTTATCTTTGTCAGTCGTCCGTCAGACGAGTACCTTTTTTCCAATGATATTAATGTTACAACTTAATTTTCAATAAAAATGTAAAGAAAATTTAAAACAAGGAGACATGTTTACGGTACTTCGAAAACAAAATATTCCAGTCTGCACTCTAACTTTTGATTACACCTGAACTCCCATGATGTCAAATATAGCATTATGAATACCTTAGTCATTTTCCAACGGTCATACTGATGTCAGGTGCTCTCAGGCGGTACCAACATGTACCGGTCTGTATTTAGCAGCACCTAGTCAGTTGGCTAAGTCAAAACAATGGCTGATGCAAAGCAGCCATCACTGCATAATTTTTTCCCTAAAACTTCAGATAAAAATAGAAAAAATGTCACATGCCACATCCTCGCTGATTAAGTCGCCATTTCATAGCTGAATTTGGACGAGTTAGTGTCCAATCCCGACGAGTAAATTTTTCATCTCACCAGTCCTGTGCCTAGTGGTTTAAAATATTTTTCCAGACCCCTGTACACAGGGTCCCTAATATTTCCAGAAGTTTAATGGAATTGGTTAACAGGTTTAGGAGGAGCTGTCTGGACAAAATTTTTCTATGGACAGAGAGATGGACAAGCTGATTCCAGTATGCACCCCCTAACTTTGTTGCAGAACCAATATACTTTCAAATAGGGCATATATATAGTTTTCTTCTTTGAGGAATTGTCCCCCTTGGGCTTTAGATCACCAATCCACAAGTTCTACCATAGACAAATCTGGTTATCTATTCCAAATAGGTAACATATTTCTGATTGTGATACTTACCTCTGCAACATCTTCCCGGCTCTCCTTGCTGAAGTGAGCAGTACCTACAAGAAAGACCCTCATCTCAGAATTGTTAGCGAGAACCGTGACTGTATTGGGAAGTTCAGGGTTAGGGTCCCTACTAGCTCTTTGGACTTCCACCTCATCATTGTTCTCTATTTCTATTGTATCTTCGTCATCGTCATTTCCTGTATAATCTTCCTCAGTATCATCTTCCTCAGAATCATCCTCCTCAGTATCATCTTCCTCAGAATCATCCTCCTCATCCTCACCATCTAATGATCTCAACCAAAATTTCACAAATGAGAGCCCTATATTTTACAAAGCTAGATTTCATTGACGTAACACAGATTGATTGGGAATTAGTTTTTCAGAGCATTATTAACTGAAGATGAAGCAAATTTCAAAATGGTTAATATACAAAACAAACACTATATGATCAGGAAATCAACATTATCCTCATGAATTAATCATAACTTTCTTAACAAAACAAATATATAATAAATTAAATTAAAACATTTTGATTTAATTTAAGACTAGTAAGACTTTGAACAACATATATGTACATAATACTATTACAATTGTATCCAGTGAATCACATGCTCCTTACATCAACAGATGTGTTTAAATTTAGTGCAAAGTCGTTGCATATCTATCATATTTGGCTTTGGATCTATGGATGTGGTACAAAGGCTGATGAGTGTCACCAGGACACCAAAGATGTCTATAGGCCTTAACAATCAACTAACCCACCATTGTTTGATCTTTATATGCTCTTTGAAAGATGCATCTTTCCCTTCTTTTCTCTTCTCTGTTTTTGCTCTTAATGGTAAGACATTTGAACATTTCTTTGCAGAAATAGCAATGACAATCTTTACCTGCCAAATCCAAAATGGCATTAAGGAAGCCATTTTGTTTCTTTCAGATCAGCCTCAAAATCAAAAAGCAAACGGAGAGACCAAAGGGAATATACATATGAAATCTGAAAGATATTCACTCAGTATTTCTTAAGAAATAACAATAACAATCTTTACTAGGCAAAATCCAAGATGACTGCGTGTAAGCCATTTTGTTTTTCCGGTCAGCCCCAAACCAAAACAGGCACAAGGGACCTAAATGAACCTATACATGAAATTTGAGAAAGATCTTTGCTATAGCTCTCAAGATATATTGATAACAACTTGCAAAGTCTAACTCCAAGATGGCAGTCTTTCAACCATTTTTTTTTTTTTTATCAGACCAAAAATCCAATGGGCACAACTATGAACCAAAGGGAACCTACATATGAAATCTGAGAAAGATACATCTCTTACTTTTCCAAGAAATAGAGATAACAAATTTATTTGAAACTCAAGTTATTGAGGGGAAACCTATTTTGCAAATGTACCAAGGGCCATAACTCTGTAAATAATGTGCGAACAATTTTGGTTATCGAACTTGACCTGGCTTTTATGGTAATAAAGCTTCATGTGAAATTTCAAATTAATCTGTAAAAAAATATACAAGTTATCAAACGGAAATCTATTTGCAGCTGCCAGCCCGCCAGCCCACCCACCTGCCACCCTCGTGAAAACATAATACGTCCCGTCTTTCTACGAGCATATAAAAAAAATCCAAGTTAGCTGCCTGTCTGCCATTTTGTTTGTTTTTATCCGTCCCAAAATCAAATGGGCACAACAAGGGACCAAGATGAACCTACAGATGCAATCTGAGAAAGATCCATCCAGTACTTCTCAAGAAATAGCAATAACAAAAATTGTTTATGGGCAGACAGACCACAGACCATGGACCACTGATGCAGAGTGATTTGAAAAACCCATCATGTGGGCTAAAAACAGTTACTTGAAAATAAGCAATAGGACACTTAACAGTAACAGCTTTTTTTGTTTTGTATTTTTGAGAAGAAGCTGCAAAAATTTCTAATACCCATTTCATATGAACATTTATTTAACATCTATATGCTGAACAGTCTAAAATAAAACTTTTCTAAACCAAATAAAACAATCTATAAGAAAAAATAAATCTGACCTTCAAACTCTGAAGCCTCGCTATCCATAAAAGCTGGCTCCTGTTTTAAAATCTTTCTTGAAACCTCAGCATCAGAGGCTTCTGTTTTGTCCTTTTCCTTTGAAGGCTTAGAGCTTGCATCTCCATGTGCAGCAGGTCCGTGTGCCCCTGTAGTAACACATGATAAAAGTGAATTAAAGTTTTACTATATCCTTATTGTGAAAATGTTTCATCCAAACTAAAGGAAATTAAAATGTTCTTATCATTCCCCTATTGGGCCCTACTCTGCCCCCAGGGAGTCAGTCAAACCATATTTATAAACATCCCGGAGGAAATCTTAACATCCACCATTGTTTGATATTCATTTGTTCTTTAATAGTTAAATCTTTTTCATTTGTTTCTCTTCTTTCCTCTTTTCCCTTGTTAAAGATATAAAATTTGAGAATTCCTCTCAAGAAATTGCAATCATAATCTTCAACTGTCACACAGAAAAGGTCACCTGTCACACAGAAAAGGTCACCTGTCACACAGAAAAGGTCACCTGTCAGTTTTTGTTCACTTAACAGTCCCAAAATCAAAAGGGCACAGGGGACCCAGAGTTCTAAGAAATGTATCTAATATAAATGAACACATATTGATCTACTGAAAAAGAAAGCTTGATTTGCTGATCACATCATCAACAAATATATAAGATATTAACCTTTTTAAATGATTGATCTTCATGTTGTTTGATGATGTTTAATACCAGGAAACACCCCGCCAGAAGCTCCCATAGGCCTATTTATGAAAATAAGGGTTCACCTCCAAACCCGAAATACTATGGGTGTATATCACTGTTGTTAAACCTTTCAGTAAACTTTTCAAGAGTACTTTGAATGAAAGACCACTAAAGCTTTAACTTGCATGCCACCGCTGATTTCATTCTAACAATAACGCAATTGAGAATACCCGTATATACAAGTATTTGACTTCTGAAATTATTAGTCATATCATATGAAGATCCCTCCATATTATATTTGAGAATGATTGATCCATCTAGTACCTCTCCGAAAATTGTGATGACAAACTGTTAATGCCAAAGTCCAACAATGGCCTCCTGCTTGCCATGTTGATTGCTGGATCAGTACAAAAATGGAACAATGGACATTAAGGGACCAAGGGGAACCTACGTACCGATTAAATTTGAAAAAGATTCAACAAGTTTTCCTCATCAGTCCCAAAATCAAACAAATATAAATATAAACCAAAGGATCCTTAATTTTTATGAAATTTGAGAATGACCAATCAAGTACTTCTTCAAAAATAGTAATAGCAAATTATTACAGTCAAAATTCAAGATGGCTGTCTGTCCAGTGTTTGCCAAACTTTGTCGGACTGCTGGACATATGTGGTAAAATATTGGTCACATCGGACCAAATGTTAAGTAATGCCTGGTGTTTTTTTAGCTGCATCAAACATTTTTTTCAAATAAAAAACACCATTGACGACATTCATACTCAGTCGAAGCCAACATTTACTGCAGTTAGCTAGATAAAAAACACTATCTGCTTACATATAGAGGATCTTACATGAGTGTGAATGTATTATGGAATTTATTAAACGAGTTCAATAATTTGATATGCCACGAGCCGATAATACATTGACACGAGTGTAAGATTCTATTTATCACATAACCAATTAAAATGAAAAAATCGCCAGAAAATTATGATTTACTTCTACTATGCAATCAGCTGTTTCTATATAGGTCAAAACCAAAGCACAGCAATCATAGTTTTATCCATCAGTGTTGCAAATAGTACCTTTTTTCAATGATTGAATAAGAGATTGTTATGTTCCAAAATGATATCGACAAATTAAAGCATTTAAATTCTGTTTAATGCCAAAATAACTTTTAAAAATCACAAAAAAAAAAACTCCTGGAAATTCTCTTGATATTGGTAACATGACGTCACCTCGCCTCGTCATCACGGGTCATCAGGTTCGGCCTAACTGCTCCAGTTATACAAAAGTTTCATGTCATACAAAGTTTTGCTCAACGTATTCTTGTTTGATTGATCCTGTATGAAATTCCCCACCTCATCTTCTCTGACTGAAACGAAACGACTTGGTTCAGGGGCAACAGGACCGCCATCCGGAGCGGTCGTCTGCTGTTGGGAGGGATCTACCACCTTTTCAATATGATCACGCTCAAACTCAGTTTGAAAGCCAATCCCACACAATTCAACATTATAAAATACAGCAAACCCCGTGGGATTATCTCCTTCACCACACCAGTCCCCTTCTTATCAATAAAAACTGTCGCCAATGTTGATCTGGTCAGCCATATTCTACTACAGTTTGTTGTCGTAGTAAATAAAAGTAGTACGCGTGCGGGTGTATGAATACATTCACACGGTTTTGACCAATCAGCAGACCCCAAACCTTTATTACACATGTGTATTACCATTATTATGACATGGGCGTATGACATGGGAAAACGGGTCGGTTATGTGATAAATATGTTTATCAACTATGCAAGCCTTTGGTTACTTTCTTTGGACAGTCTATATATAGGTTTATTGTTTTGTAAACATTTATAGTCGATAAGTGATATCATGATAGTGTCGCGATAGTAAAATTAATATTGCAATTTTATTGTGATAGTCATTTAGTATATCAGAATGCTTAATTTACCAAATGTTATAGCTGAAAAAATTATTTACAATTTATAGATAAAAAAGAATAACCAGTTCCTGAAGTCAGGTACCTGGCTTTCATGGTTTCAAGAATTGGGTACCCTTACCTGACTTCAGGAGTTGGTGCTCTGGGATTCATTAAGTCATATCATTATAGAAGACCAAGTGTATTCAAATTAATACAATTAATTAGTGTTCAAAATGTACCTTGGAAACTGAATTGAGTAAACTAGGGAAATTTCTTTACTGAGTAACAAAACATCATAATGACGCAGCATAGCTATGTATCCAACAGTCAGCACCATAATGTTTGTATATGTTTTCATGTTTCTCAATATGTCATTGTTTCTATTACTATCACCATTTCTAGAGGGACCAATGTATATGTAAGTGATTGTTAGATAACACATTACATCAAGATAATATGCTGAGCTGCTCTAATACGTTATACAATGTTGACATACAAGATCACTGAGATCTTAGACAATTACCGATAAGTTATTCAATCAAAATGCTAAAATATTATCATATTAGTCATTATATATTAGTCAGTATCTATAGTGTAGGACATTATAAGTATATCATATTACATTACAATTACATGGTTATGTGTGATCTTGTGATGTGTTATATCATAATGTTTTAACAGTAATAGTAAACAGTATTTTGTTTGTAGTTGCATTTACCTGAAACATTACTGTCCATTACAATAATATGAATTATTGTCTGTTATTATAATATGAATTATTGTCTGTTATTATAATATGAATTGTTGTCCATTACAATGATATGAATATTAGCCCCTGGATGTTAGCCAGGATCAATCAAGTTTGAAATATTTCCAATGGAAGTTTTTCTATATAAAGTATATTTAACTTCACCCCCTCCACACGGGGAAATGTGAGACCATTGGGCTATGAAATTCACACTTTTGGTAAATTGAATGGTAATAATATTCAACAGTGAAAAGTAGAGTTCATTAGGTCAGGAACAGCAGCCAATATCATAAAATTCTAGATTTTGGGATTTATAAGGCATGTTTCCCTAATACAGGTATGAATGGAGGTAAACTAAAATTGATCTGTGAAAAATTTAAATGTTTCACATTATCATGGCTGTGGTGAAGTGAAGCTTCCTGTCCCCAATTACATTATGTTTTTATCAAATATCATGTATGGAGAAAATAAGTAAAAATAAATAAATTATAAACAAGAGGCCCATGGGCCTTAACGGTCATCTGACAAAAAGCAAGCCAAACCTAGAAAGTGGGTTGAGGTCATTCATTTGAACAAACTTGGTAGCCTCTCCTCCAAGCATCTTACAGGCCCAATATCAGCACTCATGGACTTTTGCTTGCTGAGAAGAAGTCGTTTGTATATTTTAACATATTTGACCCCTGTGACCTTGAAAGTGGGTCGAGGTCATTCATTTGAATAAACTTGGTAGCCTTTCCTCCCAGCATGCTACAGACCCAATATCGGCACTCATAGACTTTTGCTTATTGAGATGAAGTCCTTTGTATATTTCAACATATTTGACCCCTGTGACCTTGAAAGTGGGCCAAGGTCATTCATTTGAAAAAACTTTGTAGGGCTCCATGCCAGCATGCTATGGGCCAAGTATTAGCCCCCTAGGGCTTCTAGTATTTGAGAAGAAGTTATTTAAAGATTTTAACATATTTGACCCCTCTGACCTTGAAAGTTGTTCAAGGTCATTCATTTGAACAAACTTGATAGCCCTTCATCCCAGCATGCCACAGGCACAATATCAGCAATCTGAGCCTTTTGGTTATTGAGGAGAAGTCATTTAAAGATTTTAACATATTTGGCCCCTGTGACCTTGAACGTCATCAATTTGATCATAGACGAAATGTCATTGCAACAATCTAGAAAATACACAAGAAACAATGCAACCATTGTCATGAATTAACAAACTGACAAGTGTCATAATTGAAAAAATACTCTCAAAAAGCAGAAAACAAAGGACGGTAATAAGAAACCAGTTTTCATAAAATGATCACTCCATCGGTAATAAACAAAATAATCAACCCTGATTGGTTGAATGAAAATATCAGCAAAATGTAGGCGGAGCCTAGAGCTGTCAATCACGCACGTCAGCCATGGCGGTAAGAGAGAATTACGGAATAATAAATAGCGTCTAATAGGTCATTGAAGACGACAAAGACTAAATAAATTATGACTTGAATTGAGATTGGAATGGTTTTAGTTCCATTCAACACCCGAAAAACTAGTGTAATATTGATAATAACTGTCTTTTCTGTGTCTTTTCGGTAATTCTGTTGTCTTTTTGGTTAATGGCTGTCGTAATTCGTCGTACCAAGGATGTGGCATGTGACTTTTTTTCTATTTTTATTTGAAGTTTTAGGGAAAACATTATGCAGTGATGGCTGCTTTGCGTCAGACATTGTGCTCGACTTTGGCCTAGCCGTAGTGTTTGCTTTATTTGATGTCATGGGAGTTCCAGTGTTATCAA